TTTTTCAAGAAGACTACACATCCTTTTAACAATGTATTTTATTTTATATAGCACTTTTAAAGGTGATGGGATGAGGGATGAGGGGGAGCCGGAGCCTTTCCCAGCAAGTAATGGGATGCAAGGCAGGGTACACCCTGGAGGGGAAGCCAGTCGATCGCAGCACAAACCCAGACATGCACACACTCAGACCAGGGCCGATTTTCCCAGAGGCCAATGAGCCTACAGGTGTGTCTTTGGACTGTGGGAGGAAAAGAAAGCACCTGGTGCAAACCCACTTGAACATGGGCAGAACATACAGACTCCATGCAGATAGAGTCCAGGTCTAAAACTGAACCCAGGGTCCCAGGATAAGCAATACTAACCAGTGTGTCACCATGCTGCTCTATATTTGAGACTATTTAAAAAAAAATATTTGTGGGTATTTCATATCCTTTCACACCTGAAACAACTATAAACAATATTATATGAGACTAAAGCAGGTATAGATCACTGAAGGACCAAGTAATCAAAACAAGTTTGTCTTGAGAAAAAAAAAAGTACGATGCTGATTTGATTTTCCTTTCACTCAAAAATTCAAACTTGATGATGTAAAGTCATGCAAATGTGAACATATGATATTTCAGTAGTTTAGTGCTCCTCAGCCAACTGAGTGGGACTAAAGCTTCAATTAATTATTATCATTTATCTAGATTTTGGAATTCATGGAAAATTAGTAAGATATAGTGATAAACTGGAAATATTAACAAACACTGTAAGAGCTGCAAAGAAAATTCAAAAAGACAATATTCATGACTGCGGAAAAACATAGATGAAATTTAATGCAGACAAGTCCAAAATGTTACCGGTGCTTAGCAAAAACATAAATAATAAATGAAAGATGAGAAAAACTGATGTTGAATTAGTATTTAAGAAAAGGACTTTTAGTTCAGGTGGACACATCATTTTTGACTTATATACAACTGTAAAATCAGTAAAAGGGAAAAAGCATTACTGCAAGGAGAAACACACTGAGAAAGGCACGAGTGCAGGAACAAAAACTTGTATTAAGTTAATAACTTAAAACTAATATTACCAGGGTTTACTGATTTGATTCTTGGTTATTTGATGAAAAGAATACAATTTCACAGTCTCAAATGGTGCAAACTTTAAAGAGAAATCATAGTCGTTTGGATGGGATTTTTCCCATCATGTGTTTTCTAGTGTTTTTCTCAGGTTTAAGCAAAATTATGAAGCATTTAGGAGCAAATATACAAAACAGTAGACCAAATGTCGAAGACAAAATAGCAAAAATCTCAACTGCAACTGTGTATTTTCCAGGTGAGCTGACATACGCTGGGATGAAGGTGACCCAAACTGCACAGAAGATGAGCATGCTGAAAGTAATCAACTTGGCCTCATTGAAATTATCAGGCAGTTTCCTGGCTAAGAAAGCCAGCACCAAACAAGTAGCTGCAAGCAGGCCTATATAGCCCAGTACCGCATAAAATGCAATTTCAGATCCTGTGTTACATTCTAAAATGATCTTTTTATTACTGAGTTTAACATTTTTGTCAGGAAATGGAGGTTTCAAACTAAGCCACAGCACAGATATTACAATCTGCACAGCTGTAAAAGAACAAACTATGATCCTCTGCTGAACTGGCCCAAAGTTTTTTGCCATGTTGTCGTTGGGAAGAGTGGCTCTGAAAGCTGTTACAACAACTATTGTTTTTCCCAA